CAGAGATCCCACAGAGAACCCACAGAGATCCCACAGAGATCCCACAGAGATCCCACAGATCCCAGAGATCTGGGAGATCCCAGAGATCTGGGAGATCCCAGAGATCCCACAGAGATCCCACAGATCCCAGAGATCTGGGAGATCCCACAGATCCCAGAGATCCCAGAGATCCCACAGAGATCCCACAGATCCCACAGATCCCGCAGAGCGGGCGGAGTCCCCAAGGTGTGGCTCTGACGTGTGTCCCTTCCCTGTTCATTGTCCCCTCCCTGTTCGGTGTCCCCAGAGCCTCCCGGGCCTCCGGGAGCTGGGATGGGATCCATGGGATGGGATCCATGGGATCCATGGGATGGGATCCATGGGATCCATGGGATGGGATCCATGGGATGGGATGGGATGGGATCCATGGGATGGGATCCAAGGGATCCATGGGATCCATGGGATCCATGGGATGGGATCCATGGGATGGGATCCATGGGATGGGATGGGATGGGATCCATGGGATCCATGGGATCCATGGGATGGGATCCATGGGATGGGATCCAAGGGATCCATGGGATCCATGGGATGGGATGGGATGGGATGGGGTCCACGGGATCCATGGGATGGGATCCATTGGATGGGATCCATGGGATGGGATGGGATGGGATGGGATGGGAATTGGGATGGGATGCAGCTGGAGCAGGGTCGGTAGCACATCCCTCACCCCCAGCACGTCCCACCCCACCCTGGGGTCCCCCCTCCGTGGCCTCCAGGGTCTCCCTGGGGATGGTTTTGGGGGACAGAAGGGGAGGAGGAGCTGGTGCTGCTGCAGGTTCGTGTTTGTCACAGGCTGGCAGTGCCACCGCGGCCCCGCTGCCCTACAGGTGCGAGTCCATCACGGGGATCACGGAATCCGAGTGGCGCACGCCAAAGGTCTGCCCTTGTTTTGTGGCCTGCGGGGGGACAGAGGTTGTGAGAAGGTGAGGGGCTGTGGCTCCCTGTCCCCAACCCCGTCCCTGTCCCTGTCCCTGTCCCCATGTCCCTGTCCCTGTCCCTGTCCCCATCCCCCTGTCCCTGCCCCTGTCCCTGTCCCTGCCCCTGTCCCTGTCCCTGTCCCCAGCCCT